TTTTCAGCTAAAATTTAAATTAGCAAACAGAGGAGCGAGCAATGTGAGGACCGTACGTCAATTTTTTTTAAAGAATGGTGCAATTTGGTGCATTCTAAGCTATTCTGAACACATTATAGGAGACTCTTGAATCACCTTTTCAAGTTGTCAAAAGGAACAAACGAACTATGAATAGGAAATCAGGGGGCTGAAAATAGGGCTGAAATAGTATTTTATTAAATGTCTAGACATAATGATATTTTTCTGTTTCCACCGTCGCTTGCATTGTTTTACTCAGACATAAGCTGCCTTGCTGCGACGAGATTTGAATGAAAAAAACACAATGCGAATGGAACAATCATTGCATAGTCATGCACACAACATGCACACAGCAACATGTAAACCCGGCCCCCAGGCCAGGCAGCCCGGCATGGTCGTTACGTGATCAGCTACCTCAAATGTCTGCCCCTCTACTGCAGCCTGTGAACGAGGAATTTCTTTTCTGGTACACAAAAACAGATACACTGTATACTTTGCTGTCAGTCTACTGTCTACACTACAGTCTACAGTCAGGTGCTGTTGAGGGTATATAATTTAAATTGATACATTGTTACCCCACCCCCCATTTTCTCAACGAATTTAGACGTTTCACAAAATCGACCCCTGGGACTGTCAAATCCGCAGATTTCCGCGAATCCGCGGAAGAATCTCATCCCTGTTTATCTCAAAAGCTGCATATTTCGGAATAAGTCGGTCTCCGATCTTCAAATTGCTGTAGATCTGTCAATTCTTTAGATATAGCCAAATATTATATATATTTTAAAGGTAATTAAATGATCTATTCAGATACGCACATAACTCAATTTGTAAAATTTCCTACTCAATCCTGGTTTTGCTGGAGCGGGTCACAAATAGTATGACGTACATGTATACATGAGCGGATCCGGCTTTTTGAAAAAGGGGGGTCCAGTAAGAAATAAAGAGCACTTTTATAAAAATGGCTGCGAAGGCAGCTTATGTGCCGCTGTCTGAGCACGTTGCCACTTAAGGGGTGGGGGCGGTTAGCGGGGACCTCCCAAGATTTTTTTTTTAATTGGTGCATTCTGAGAGCCCATCTAGCGCAGTAATTTTGGACTGTCTAGAATGCAAGATGGAATTCAAATTTTAAGCCAAAAATTATTTTCTATGGTGTTTCTCCCTTTTTGGGGTAAAAAAAAGGGGGGTCGCCGACCCGTGGACCCCCCCTCCCTTGATACAATCCACATCCAACTAAGAAACAACTTTAGTGAAATGAAAATCGCCTGTGATCGGTTAAGTATAGTATTTTACGTTTCATTTTAAGTGTAGCGGGGTGGGTCTGGGGCGTCCACCCCCGCGAAATTTTTGAAATTGCGGATCCTGTGTAAAAAATTAAAATCCTGCACTCTGAGAAGCAAGTAGCATACATGTTCTGGATTCGAGGAAGAAAAGTGTCATGACATTGTAGCTTCCACAACAAAAAGCGACCACAAATGAGTGCGTAGGAAGAAGTGCGTTTTAATGATGCAACCATCTGACGACATCTATGAGAAGAGGGGCGATTGCCAGTGCACCTGTATATTTGCAATAATAAAATGATACAACCAAAATGACTCACAATTTGTGGACCGTACGTACTGGCGCATTAACCGCTGTGTAGCGATGGGCATTTGAGATAAATAGAGTTACTGCTGCGTTCCGATACATGTTTCTGCTTTAGAACTTTCTACTCTAAGGATAGAGTTTTATCGAGGCAGGGTGGAGAAGGAAATACCAATTTTTCATTAAAGATATTGTCAATAAAATCTTTGTAAAAACGAACCAGACGAGTGTGACACCACAGACTGTTTGTGTCTATATAATATGCTATATAATTGCCAAACCCTACCTAATTTGCATACCAAAATATGAGCAAAATCCGTTGAACCTGAACTTGATCTAATTGGCAATTCCATTTCTGCCAAAAAATCCACCAAAGAACCACTGCTATACCGTAAGACTAACATATATTAGGACACTCGCAGTGTTTCCCCTGCATTGACACTACGAGGAGGCGGGCCGCCTAAATTCTTAGCCGCCACACAGAAATTTGTCCAAAACACTGCCTCTCTGACGAAACTATTGACAACTTTAGAAAGAGATTCAAAAGTCTCATACAATGAGTCAGAATAGCTTTGAATGCACCAAATTGCACCATTTTTTCAAAGAATTTGGACTCGCTGCTCGTCCTGCTAGGAACATGAAAACGCGCAAACACCACCACAAAAATATTTTCCACCTCACAGACCCTTTGGGCCAGGGGAACACTGACTCGTATGATATCATTACTTTGACTAAATATTGCAGACTGAAATTTTTTCTCTCTTTTTTTGATGGTTTAAGGACGCGCACTTGTTTCTAGCGAGACTCAGTCCAACACTTTGTTAATGGTAACTTGCATAAAGTCATAGATGTGACAACCAGCCTTAGAACCACTTATAAGTTATATTACTACATCGAGATTCACTTTTGTTTGGTGGCACCTTTTACAATGCATTTGCACAACATTGGTGAATGTGACTGCATTTTTGAACATTCTAGGGTTGTAACGATTCATCGCGTGAATCGCAATACAGTGACCCATGATACAATAATCAATACCAGCATCCGTATCGCGATACAAAACGATACAGATGGTAAACAGTCAATAATGCATAGCTAAACTATTAATAAAGGGCATGTAATTCTTTTGAATTAAATTTATTTTATTTTATGAACTTTATCAGTATCATGTAAATATTCTCGGCATGTCGGCGGATTAAATGAATTTTTATGTATTTAGATTTTGATGGAAATTTTTAGAATGGTTCTTTGGGCCTTGCATCTACAAAGTTCTGCCAAACTCAAACGACACACCAGCAATTGGAACAGATACACCAATAAATTGCCTCCTAGTCTAAACATTTTAATAAACAGTGTTTCCCCTGGGCAAAAAGGTCTGTGAGGTGGATTTTTGTGTGTGTGTATTTGTGCGTTTCAATGTCCTAGCCCAACTAGGGTGTCTGGGAAAAAAATTTTGAAAAAATTGTGCAATTTGGTGCATTCTAAGCTATTTTGTGCATTATAACTTATAAGCACTGTGTTCTATGGAAGAACAGTGATTTTCGGTCAGTGAGGCGGGCGGTGTTTTGGACAAATGTCTGTGTGGCAGCTGAGAATATGAGTAAGGGGCCCACCTCGCTCGTGTCAATGCAGGGGAGAAACACTGAATAATCTAAGGCTATCAATAGGGCCAGTAGCGCCGATCAGGCTGTGTGACTAACGTCAATATACACAGCCTGACATCCATCCATTAGATAATCTTGTACCTCTACAAAAACTGCCGAACAATTTACGCATATTATATCAATAAAATAATCATCTAAGATTTCTGCCTTGGTTTTGTATTCAAGTATAACCTCACTATAGTATTCCAGCATTGTTATTAAAAACTTCCACCTCAGTTCGGCTGTGCACAGTGTAAATGTCAAGAGCCAAACCTAAATTTCACTTTAACGCAACCGCCATGTTTCCACTGCACATGCGTTTCGATCGGAACGCCGGAAAACCCGAAACGAACATACATTACCATAGCATTGCAACTCGCGTTGGCACGAGCATAAATAAGCATCATATACTCGTATATATATATATATAATTATATATATATAAATATTAAAACATTGAAAACCAGGAAACATCAATCTACAACAACTTAATAATTACCAATTGCGAAATGATAGTACTTGCCTTGTGTTTAAGGCCTACGCACTGTGGAAAACAGGTCCATAGCGCGATTTTAGTCGCACTGAACATGGCGGACATGGCGGCTGTTCTGTTGTTTACATCCAATTCATCTCAGAAAATACGGCTCGATAAATAAGTAGCGCCCAGTAGCGCCCAGTTACCGTGAGCAAGCCAGAGATTTATAGATTCGCTTGAGCTATTACATGTGACGCTAGCTGTGTCGATGGCTTGGATACCGAAGCCAACTACAAGGAATTGTGGGCAAGAATTTGAAACGGTATTCTAACCCTAGCAATACCGTTTCTTGGAGCTACCGTACCTCCAGCCACTCCGATAAAAAAAACACTTGCCATGCATTATCAGCTTCTTAAATACGCTTTATCTCATTTAAAAAATATCTCGACAACAAATCTTCAAAAATTGCAAGACCAGAAATTGGGGCCCAAGGATAGAGAACATGGGTCCCAATAAAACCAATGTGCCAAACCCTAATCTTAACCCTAATTCTAACCCTAACCCTAACCATAATCCTAACCCTAATTCTAACCCTAACCATAACCCTAACCTATTATATTGATATAATATTATATTTATATTGATGTAAATGACATTGGTTTTATTGGGACCCATGTTCTCTATCCTTGAACCGAAATGGCCAAGGAATTGGTAGGAAAGTGTACTTGCGCCACATTAGCCAGCGATTATTTCATAACATAGTGGGAAATGATGCTTTCTCGCTACTTCATAAACACGGTTTTCTATCCTTCTGTGTGGTGTTACCAGCATCTACCCTTGCGCACAGTAGTGTAGGCCTCCAATTGGTGAGATCGTGTTGAAAATGAGCATTTTAATGGCATTTACACGGCAAAATTAGGTCATAGTGAGTACATAAATATTGAAATTTTGGTAGTAAATACAACTTACAGTTACAATACAGCTACAAGTACAAGTACAACAAACTGTCAAGGTTTATCTTTCACCATTTTAATATAAAAACGGTCGAAGTGCCTGTGACGATAATAAAGTATTAACTAATTAATAATACTACTAGTACTATAGTTAATGGTATTAAATGTTTCTGCAGTTTTACTAGCAATAATAGTAATTAAAACTAGTATTTAGCACTATATTATGTACATGTACAGTACACTTAGTGGTGGTGTTGAATACGAAAGACTGCTCAACTCAACTGGTGCTCGGTATTCTGAACCACTTTCAATTGAACTTTACGGGCTTACCAGAATTCTTTTAAACAGGGTGTTTTCCCTTGGTGGCAATGGCTGACTGGGTGACATTTTTTAAAAATTGGTTGTGGAGACAACCTAGTATTTGACTGGAAACTCCCAATCAAAATACACAGAAACCTCGTGGCGAATGACGAACCAAGATGGTTGACGCTGCCCATCTCGCAAGTTCGCATCGTTGCGTCACATGATATCTATAAAATACTTGAAACAGCATATTTATGCTAGTAAATTATGTTACGACATAAATGAATTATTTAAAATTTGATATGCTTTACATCTATATATATATATTGATCTTAATAATAAAAACAAAAAATGCATCAGGCCAAAAATGACGTAAACAAGCATGGCTGCTGGTTGTAACTTGCAGTTAGTGTTGTTAAAAGTCCTATGTAAACTATACAAAATCAGCATTCATTCTACAGCAGATTCACAGTAAATTTACTGCTGAATTCTAGCATAGTGACATAACTTGACAATAGTGATAATAACAGTATGGGTGACGCGGCAAAGGGCGAAATGTCTGTACCCGCTGCGACAACAAGTGTTCATGTCGAGCGTCAGAAACGCATCTTCAAAATCATCGTTATTGGAGATTCCAACGTTGGCAAAACCTGTCTCACGTTCAGATTTTGTGGTGGTACTTTCCCTGAAAAGACTGAAGCAACAATTGGTGTGGATTTTCGAGAAAGAGCACTCGATTTAGATAATGAACAAATTAAGGTTAGGCTCAACACTGACTGACACTGCCAGTGCCAGTGGGGTGGCAGTGCCAGTGGCACTGTCAGTGTCACTGGCACCACAGGCACTTGAAACGTTTCAATAAAATATAAATGCTAAATAAATACGAAATCTAATACTAGTACTACAAAATTCTTAATGTTTCTATACTCTCTTTCACCTATTATTGCCGACAGTTTCCTGTCAATTCCGTGTAAATGTTCTATGAACACTGACTACCGCCGCCATTGCTCACTGTGCACAGTCACTGTTAATATATATAGCAGGTAGGAAAGCGCTCGACTCCAATCCGCTCGACACTCGGTGAATTTCACAGTGATTACAGCACAAAAACACAACCATTCTACTCCATCTTTGTTTCAATTTCAACAACAGTGATCACTTGTTAGAAATTAACCCGACCAGGCTGTGTGACTAACGTCAATACACCGCCTGACATCCATCCATTGAAAAATCTTGTAGCTGTACAAAAACTACCGAACAATTACGTATATCTCAAATAAAATGATCATCTAAGCATTTCTGCCTTGTTTTGTATCAAATATAACCTTCACCATATAGTATTCCAGCGTTGTTATTAAAACTAATACCTCAGTTTGCTGTCACAGTGTAAATTTCAAGAGCCAAACCGAAATTTCAACTAACCGCCAACCGCTATGTTTGCAATGCGCATGATTTTCGAACGGCACGCGGAAAACCCGAAACGACATAACATACCATAGCGTTGCTACTTGCGTTGGCGCGAGCATAAAGAAGCATCATATACTCGTATACGGTATATATATAAATATTAAAACATTGAAAACCAGGAATCGTCAATCTACAACAACTTAATAATTATCATTGCGAAGATATGTACTTGCGTTGTATTTTGGCCTACGCACTGTGAAAATCAGGTCCATTGGCCGATTTTAGTTGCACTGAACATGGCAGACATGGCGGCTGTCTGGTTGTTTTGATCCAATTCATCTCAGAAAAATCGGCATAACTCAATAAATTAAGTAGCCGCCCACTAGCGCCCAGTTACCCGGAGCAAGCCGCAGTTTATAGATTCGTTGAGCTATTACATGTGACGCTAGTCTGTGTCGATGGTTGGATACCGAGCAACTACAAGGAATTGTGGGCAAGAATTTGAAACGGTATTCTAACCCTAGCAATTACCGTTCTTAGAGCTAGTTAGAATATAACGGCAGCTCCGCCTTCTCGCTGTTCTTACCGCGAACTCTGTGCCCGCGATATCGAATAACACTGCAGGCAAATTCCGAGCGTTTCGTCGCTAACCGTCTGCGCGCGTCAATGTAAATGTCTGCAAGTACATGCGCATATAGGCGCGCATCTGGGATTTTTGCGGATACAAACCACGCTGGCTTTCAACCTCCCGCTACGGAGCCTCGCCATTGGCAGCGTTGCAAATAACATTCAGCATTCGGTGCGCAACGAATGACGGCAATAGGCGCGCGCTAGGTGTTTCCTGATTCCGCAAGCACATTTAGGCATTGGACCGCGACGTTAGCGAACCGTTTCTGCCCGAATTTCGGCCAGTGTTATATGGCGATATCGCGTGACAAGAAGTTTGCGGCTTAAGAACAGAGGGACATGTCTATATTTCTAACAAGTGATCACTGTTGTTGCAAATTGAAACAAAGATGGAGTAGACATGGTTGTGTTTTTGTGCTATAATTTCAGCTGTGGAATTACACGCGCAGTGTCGACGCGATTTGGGAGTTCGAGGGCCTTTCCTACCTGCTTATATATTAACAGTCACTGTGCACAGTGAGCAATGGCGGCGTTAGTGTGTGGGCATAGAGCATTTACACGGAATTGACAGGAAACTGTCGGCAATAATAGGTGAAAGAGAGTATAGAAACATTAAGAATTTTGTAGTACTAGTATTAGATTTCGTATTTATTTAGCATTTATATTTTATTGAAACGTTTCATGTGCCTGTGACTGGCACTAGCCGCTCTGCACTGGTGGCGCATCTAGATAAGATACTTAGATAGTACTAGGCTAGTACTAGTAGTAGTAGTAAGTATAAGATACGTTACACGATCGTTTTCCCCACATCATGTGAATAATGCAAAATTAAGCACCAAAATCCGATCCTGTGCTACACGGTACATAGACTCAGGCCGGTGTAATTCACCTTCGAAGACGTTGCTGTTTTTTTCATTTATTTGCCTACAAGTACAAAGTGAAAGTGCTTTAACATGTTTTAAGCACGAATCAGGTTCTTGTCCATCCATTTTTCTATTTAACTCTAACTTTAAAATGCTAATTTGTAATTTTGCTAATAAATTTATAAAAAGTGTGGTCTGACCAGGGGCGTAAATCCCGAGGGGGCGGGGGGATGCATCCCCCCGCTCTTAAAGGAGGAGGGGATGGCCGGTACAAATATCCCCCCTGAGATTCAAAAGAAAAAGAAAAAAAAGAATAGCCAAAAAGTATGGTTGCAAACATACAAAAACATGGGAAATTGTGAGAAATTGCAATTCTTGCCTTTTAATACATGTTTTAATACATGTATTATTACTATATAGTAACCTAACTGTGTACGCTCTCTGAAAAGTTATGAAAAGTGTTTTGAATCCTAACTTGTAGGGTTGAGTCTAGGGTTGAGATAGTGTCATCAGACATGAGAATATGGCCCACAGTATGCCTCAGATTGCAGGAAAATGGCTTAAATATTTCAAAATTTTCTGGGGGGGAGCATGCCCCCAGACCCCCCTAGCACTGGCATGCCTACGGCACGCTGACCTGCCTGCCGCAGCCAAGGTTAATTTTGCTCCCGGCTATCGCCGATCATCCCCCCGCTCCTTGGTACGGATTTACGCCCCTGGGTCTGACACTAATTCATTATTCAGAAAAAAAGATGAGATAGTGAAGGTGGGTAAAACATCAGGTTTAGCGTAGTAAATTAACGTGGCGGAGAAGGAGGAATTAGGGGAGAAAGGAGAAGCTGGTGGAGAAGGAGGTGGGGGAGAATGAGGAAGGGGAGAAGCTAGTGGAGAAGGGAGAAGCTGGTCGAGGAGGAAGGGGAGACGGGAGAAGGTGGTGGAAGAGGGGGAGAAGCTGGTGGAGAAGGAGGAGGGAGAGAAGCTGGTGGAGAATAAGGAAGGGAGAAGGGAGAAGCTGGTGGAGAAGGATGAAGGGGAGAAGGGAGAAGGTGGTGGAGAAGGAGGGGGGGGAGAATGAGGAAGGGGAGAAGATAGAAGCTGGTAGAGAAAGGAGAAGCTGGTCAAGGAGGAAGGGGAGAAGGGAGAAGGTGGTGGAGGAGGGGGAGAAGCTGGTGGAGAAGGAGGAGGGGGAGAAGCTGGTGGAGAAGGAGGAAGGGGAGAAGGAGGGAGAAAAGGGAGCTGGTGGATGCCGACTAGACTCGCGCCAGCGCCATCTGGCCGGCGCGCCGCTTTTTGCCACAGTTCAACTTCACCCCGCCGCGACGCCTAAACACTTGATGTCCTACCCGTCGCAAGGCTGCTCTCTAACTCTCGACAGCCTGCGCTTCATCGACCTCTGTTCCCGAATTGCTCCAATGTACCCACGATTCGCTTCTCCACAACCATAAAGCCTAGCGCACCACGTTACCGCGTTTTCCCCACTACATTTTTTCTGGTCCCAGCCCGGCCCCGGGGTGCAATTCGGCCATACATGTGTTCAGCTCTCGATTATCTCCTGCCGACTTCTTCTACCCTGCGATTTTTCACCCCCCCGCCTTCAGCCGGTACTAAATTTAATTCCTTAACGATCCCTAAAATTTGAGCGTGTCCTTAAAATCCCTACAAAAACTTTAAAAAATGTAATGAAATTCCTATAAAAATGGGCAGAAATTGTTTATTCAATGATTCCAAGAGATAAAAAGATCCACAGATATGTTGGAGTTTTTGGTCTATGAGATCCTGATGTAACGTTTTGCTTTGTAATTATATCTCAATCGCGCGGCTTGCTCCAACCATTCCTTAATTCCTAGCGGCCAACTCATCTCACGATCTTCTAGGCCTTAAATTCCGCATTCTGGCAGGCGGCAAGGTAATGAGGTCCTCCATTCCATTGCACCCTGTACAACATTGCCCTGCTTGCCTCCACTCCTGTTCCGTTGGACATATGTGACCCCGCCCCTCAGCCCACCTCAATACAGAAACCAAGTCGCAACGGTTGATGTAATCGCTCTCCTGTGAAGTGTTTGGTTGTGTGTGTAGCGCCCAGCAGCGAGCCGATGCTGTTCCTACACATACAGTGCCGAAATAACGCGTTGTCCGGTTGTCCGAGACGAACGCAGAATGTTGCGCCGGACAACACCTCAACCAGTCTGCACACATGCTCCGGTGGCACAACCAACGGAACAAATGCTTTTCTCAGGGTCCTCCAAGACACTATAGCCCTGCGCGCGTGCCACCATTAGACCTACCCCTACTGTGCCGGCGGAACAAGCCGACGTATCACCAGCTGCCTCTTTCCCAACCCACTGGTCCTAGGTGCAGGCCCTTTCTCTGATTCACTGAGCGGCGACCTGATTTGGACACCAGCCAAATATGCCCCAACTTCGACCCTACATCTTTGGCTCATTTTCACTTCCCACTTATTATTTTCAATTTTCTCCCAAACATGGCTTTGCCCACTCGCAAAACAAACAACCAGTGCTGGCGATGTCATCGTGATCTCCGACACAGTTTACAGAAAAAAAAGAGAATCTGCTCGTAGCTTCAGAATCGAAGCGCTTGTACAGTAACGCTCATCAAGTCGCCGCAGAATCACCCATCCTCCACTCGCCGATCTACATCTTCTCCAAAATTCTTCTGGCGGACGGAACAACCATACCCCTGCTGCTTCTCACACCCTCCTGGACATCCCTCAGAAACTGGCCAACTGAACACATTACCTCATCTTAGAGCAGAGAACCCAGTGAACTAAATAAGGTCGGCCTTTTCGCCATCGGCACCGCCAAAACAAGATGCAGAGAAGGTAAGACGGGAGCCGTAGCGGTG